GATTTGTCGTTGTGTTTTCTGACTTGTTAATTTGTTTTCGGATTTGTCGTTGTGTTTTCTGACTTGTTATTTCGTTCTCGATTTTGTCATTGTGTTTTCTGACTTGTTATAATGTTTTCTGAATTGTTGTTGTGCTTTATGAATTGTTATTTTGTTTTTTAGACTTGCATTTGCGTTTGTAATTTGTTATTTTGTTTTCAGAATTGTGATTTGTTTTGCACTTCTTGACCACCGTAATTTAGCCTATTTATTTACCTATATTTTATATGTAGTCAGTTATAATTTATTAAGCTTGATTAGGATTACAGTGGGAGTAAAATTAATTACATTGAAAATAATTCATTTCGGTTTCCCTTAACAAAATGCTCCTAAACATAACAAATTTAAATAACATTTATCTTAACTAAATTTATATTAACTGATAATTTAGTATCCCAGAGGCTTCGTAACTTACTAGCGAAGCTGCCACCCACTGGACACTTTAAAATACTTGAGAACTGAATCAGAGGAGCATGACAAGAGAAAACGAGATGATACACAGAAGTTGAGAGAACAGCTTTAAAAAGAAAAAGTGAAAAAAGAAAAATATATTCAAAGTTACAGTTCTCTTATTTCGTAACAAATACTGGGAAATAATATTCTATAAATTCTTTTTTAAAAATAATATACCAAAAATAATTACAAAAATATTGTTAAACACATTACACTTGTAATTAAAATATTAAACAAAATATATATTTTTTATTTCATTGTTTTATTAAAATAAAATATTAAGTACAACTGTCTACACAAGTATTACAATTATTTATAATTTAAATAATTTACAGCAATACAATAATTTATTGACATTTAAACATTTAATCTTGTTTTAAAAAATAAACAAAGAGTATTTGTGAGTGAGTGTTTATATATCTAGGGTTTGAAGTCAAACTGGAAAAACTATTCATAAATAAAATATATTTATGAAATATATATGGTTTTAATTAAAAAAATGCAAAAAGTATATATATATATATATATGTTGTTGTTGTTTTTTAGTCTTATTAGAACTTAGTTCCATTAATTTCTGTGCTTTCGTTTCTCTTTCTGTTCTTTCGTTCTCTGAAGTAGAAGATCATCCAGGTTACGACCCAACCAATAATCAAGCCTCCTACAGCCAGAACAGCAGCTGCCCAGGCCGGCACAGCATCGTTGGGGCAGTCTGCAGGGAGAGGGGTGCCTGGTGCAACTGTGGCGGGTACGACAGTCGTAAGGACATCAGAGCCACTGTTTATTCTTGTAAAGATGAAGGGATGCTCCTGGAGAAAATATGAAGAGAGAGCATTAATTGAAAGACTTGGTTATCTTGCTCTTACAGTGGTTTCCACTGGACATCACCATACTCACCTTTGTGGGACACTGGATCTTACTGCGGTCATATGTGAAATTATTGTAGGTTTGTTTACTGTCCACAGGCTCCAGCTAAAACCAAAAACACAGGAAAGCTAAATACAGGAAAGCTGCTGTGAGATTGTGTGTATGTATATGTATTTACCATGTTGTTCCAGAGCGCAAGTGCCATCTCTGCATGTCCGCGCTCAGAGAAATGAAAACAATCCACAGAGAAGAAAGTCAGGTCTGGTGTGCCATCCTAACGCAGAAAGAGATATTTCATCTCTTAATGTTAGCCCTGATACTGAAACTCTAGGTTTTATCTGTTGTAGTGTGAGTTCAAATGCATACTCTAAAAGCATTACATTAATCTAACATATTTATATACATATTTAAACATATTTTATGTCTGAATGTGTTGTTTATGTGTGATCTCATGAGACATGAGGTGTTTTAGAGATATTTTAAAAGGGTCATATGATGCTGCTAAAAAGAACATTATTTTGTGTATTTGGTGTAATGAAATGTGTTTATGCGGTTTAAAGTTAAAAAAACACATTATTTTCCACATACTGTACATTATTGTTTCTCCTCTATGCCCCGCCTTTTTGAAACGCGTCGATTTTTACAAAGCTCATCGGTCTGAAAAAGCGAGGTGTGCTGTGATTGGCAAGCTATCCAATGCGTTGTGATTGGGCGAATACCTCAAGCGTGAGACGGAAATGTTATGCCCCTCACATACTGATGCCGTGTCCCGGCCGGAGCGACGAGACAAAAACATTAAAACCCATTACAAATGATTTTTACGACACATTTCTAACGTTACTCTCCCAGGATCAGTAAACAGTCCTCCATAAAATGCGCTGCACACATGTGGATATTTGGGTTAAACTGTTCTGGAACAGTGTTGTAAATAC